CACCGAAGTAGCTGTGTCGCCCGAAGTAGGTGGAGGAAATATTTACAAATAAGATATGATAATATACATATGTATATATGATATGTATATCTAATTATGCATTGGCATATATATATATATATATCTATAATATACGGTATAATGTATTGATGTGATTTTATATAATATATGTATCTTGAAAGATGATGGGGCATTCGTATATTCAATTGTTGTTCTAGAAAGAACAATGATGATAAACCATCAAATTTGCTTTGTGTTCCCCTAAATATTCCCACAAAGCCACTTTGCTAGTTCTCCAAGGTGCAGTACCACCACAGCGAAGTGATCATGGACCAGAAAAACCTAGGTCCAAAGGGCCGGGAATTCCCTTGTTCATCAATGTCAACGGACTGTTGCTATTTTTTTTATTAAAAAATGGTGGATCATATTGATAGAATAACATTACAAGAAACAAACACACACCTTATTATATTATACCATCTGGTTATGACCCAACATAGCCATGGAAAATGGCCCATAGAAATAGATGGTTTACCTATTAAAAATGGGTGGATCTTTCGATGGCTAGTTATAACCTGGCCTTTAACCTGGCAATCAGAAGATGTTGTTGCCCTCATGGACGTAAAACAAAACCCAAAGGGTCACAGGTGTTTCAAGAATGAATTGTCCATCTGCCATGCGGTTAGCAAAAACTTTGATGCAATATATGAATAGTATACGTATATATAATACATACATAATACATACACAAAGGAGTATCTCAATACTGAGTATAAATAGTATAATTGTGCATATGTATATATATATATACATTGTATAATTGTATATACATTTATATTCGGAAAAATACGCATGAAATTGGATGAGACACATCTACACTACATTTTCTCGTTCATTCCCGTGTTTGGGCTTCGACCCACACGACTTGAAGGAGCATGGGAGTAGATGATGTGAAAACCACGGTACCTGGGTCTTGATCAAAAGCTACGAGTATATTGCTAAGCCTGAGCATTGGAAAAACCCGGGGAGTGGTACCAGAGACCATGTTGAAGCATCGTGAGAAACAGACAAGCCACACGGATGATCTGGTAGAAAGATCTATCATATGTGCCATGGTAAAACATGGTATATTTGGTATGGTCCTCTATGAATTGATGACGATCCTCCAACATATGCAATTCCCCTAAATTTTCACCATGGCACATATCTGGTTGGTGGTATACCTACCCTTCTGAAACATATGAAAGTCAGTTGGGATTATGAAATTCCCAAGATATGCAAAAAATAAAATTCATGTTCCAAACCACCAACCAGTCAGTGTTAAATACCAAGATGCTAAAGATGAATAAAGATTATATATATATATAAATAATTATGTATATATATATATATGTCTGATCCCCAGTATTAAATTAGTACTAAAGTACATAGAACTCAGGTAGCCTAGGCTACCTTTCGTGATATAATCTGTGTTGCTCATCTTACTGCGCTTCGGCTACTCAGCTTGCGGTTTTTCAACGCTGCCAAGAGGCACTCTCCTGCGTGGACGCAGCGATAAGAAACCGACCTCAAAGGACACGGAGGACGGCTATCATTGCTACAATATGCTACCCTCTGGTAAACTAACATAGCTATTGAAAATAACCATTTATAGTGGATTTACCCATTGAAAATGGTGATTTTCCATAGTTATGTTAGTTTACCAGAGGCTACAATCTATAAACTTGGGGGTGCCGTTCAGCTCAAATATTAATTTTGCATATAATAGATATATAGTATGTATAACGTTGTAAAACTCTAGTCTAGACATATAGGAGCTATATCCCAACTTAAGCAGCTTATACCCGTATGTGAGCCCAACTGCACCACAAAGTAACGTTCATTGGCCTGATTCATTGCTGGGAGCATGTTGAGAGGGAGATCAGCAACTAGTGGTGTTTAGACAATGGTTTAGAGTCTTTAAAAAAAAAATCTGGTTGGTGGTTTTAACCATCTTGAAAAATATGAGTTCGTCAATGGGAAGGATTATCCCTTTTTTAGTGTGGAAAATAACACATGTTCCAAACCACCAACCAGCGGTTTGTCTGATTTTGCAGTGGGGCTTGACTTTCTCCAATCATGTTGGCAACCAAATCTATGCAAATCTCAGTTATTTGGGGATGGGTCAAAACCCTGGTACCTAGTGAACCCCAAAATAGCTGGTAAATGGATGTTCATCCCACTAAAATGTATCTATAGGTATTGACCCATACCCATTTCTTTACAGCTTGTTTCTTTAACGCTGGAACTTCGGAACTTGAGCCCAGGGATGTTTATGGTTATGAATGTTTATGGTACTTATAACTATAGTTACTGGGGCGAATCTAAACCAACAAATATACCAAAAGTTTGCCCAGGGATGCCTAGGGCATCACATATGACCAACTCAAAACCACCCTCAGTGGCGAGCCTCCTTTGGAAATCATGTGGTTAAAACAATGTCATAAACCACCAATTTGGGAATGGTAAACATACCACCTAACAAAAAATGGTGATTTTCCTGGGGGATGGTAAACATGACATTGCTTTAACCACAGAAAACCAAGGGGGAAAACATACCGGGCTTTTCCAAGTTCTGCTACGCTGCTACGCCACTACTGGAGCAGCTGGCCCAAGGATTCGCCAAGGTTTCACCCAGTTTCTGTAGCCTTGAACCTAAGCCTCTGACAACTTTCTACAGCCCATATGAAATCTCACTTTTAGCTGGGTACAAAAGGTATGTCCCCGCATTGATGGCAAAACTCTAGACTACCAGTTGGTTTAATTACCCACTTATGAGCTATATCCGTCTATATCGCGATTTTTGGGTGCTTGAATTATCTTGAGTTCCCATCCACAGCATGATCCGCTTCAAGCGGAATATATTCAACAAGTCCCAGCAAGTCATGTTTGCTGCTAAAGGTTGCCCCTATTGAATGGCAAGAAGCATAAACAATATAAACAATTATATATATATAAATCTCAGGTATCAAATATATCAGTGGAGTCGACCAAGGTATTACCCTCTAGCAATTTGACAATGGAAGCTCACCATTCAACAAGTAAACAATCGAACAGTTTTTTGCCACCGCAAACGATCGCCTGAGGATTCTCGAAATTCCAAGCCGAATGGAAACCACGAGTTGAATGCCAAACTGTCCTGACATGGCATTGGGTGACTCAGAGTTCCAAAAAACATGTTTCTGATGTTGATATTCCAGTAATTTCCAGTGATTTCCAGAGGAAACTGAAGAAAAATCATTTCCAGTGAAAAAAACATAATTATAGAAGATGTCCATGTTTTTTGATAAGGAACTGGATCAGTAATCCAACATCTCCACGTATTGGATGATTAAGGGCCTTTTTGTGGTTTTTTCCAGCAATATCTGATGAGGTTTTTGCACCCGCAGACTAAAAACAAAGCCGTTCACGGGCTGCTGTTCACGGGCTGGTGGTCTGCCCAATCTCAACGAAAAGCCAACGTTTGGAAGCTGCCCTTTACAAAAATCGTGGGGGTTGCTTGGAACATCCGTTGCGTTTTCTTGATTGAAACCACATATAGAAAACATTGTTCATTTATGATTGAGTATATGTGGTTATATACTATGGTTTCTGATTGAAACCAATGTTTCCAATGTTCGTTTATATACTCAATCAGAAATGCCAAGTCTTTCCATCTGTCAATGTGTATTCCAATTCTGGTGAAATCCCTTCTGATTCTCACTGTCAGACATACACAAGTGTATTTAAGCTCCCAACAAAAAAGGGAGGAATTCTGTAGCTAAACCAGTTTGAAACAGTGCTGGTGACCCCGGTGACCCAATGTCTAGGATTTATGGTACATATATGGTTAGATGTGTGGCTCCAAACCAACAAGCATGTCATTGGAAAACACCGCCTCGTAGGTGTACCAAACTATCCCATCATATTCTTCGTATTGAAAAGTTCTTAGTAATGGCCACAGTTATGTACCACATGACAACTCGATGATACACCCCATGATAGCCCCGTAATAGATTGAATCTCAGCCGAGTTCTAGAAAATTATTCATTTATAATTGTGGCACATCTGATGTATTGTTTCAAAGAGGGCTGTTTCTGAAAATGCTAGCCCACGATGGAAACCAGCAAAAGCTAGAGAAAACTAAAAAAGAACTGAATAACCCGTGAACAATCTAAAAAATACCGCAGAAAGCTATTCCTTTCCACAGGGGAACGAGCAAAAACTAGATTGAGCTAGAAAAAACATAGAGAAAACTAGAAAAAACTAGAACATGCTAGAAAAAACAAGGAAAGCCACGATTTTTCCCGGTTTTGGGGAATTCCTAGATGCTTCTGAATGTGCCATCCATGAGAAGGAAACAATTAGCCTTTTTTTAGTGCAAACTGTTTCCTTTCGCCTCTCCCCCTCTTGAAGCTACCTTGTTTGGAGCAGCCCCGTTCTCCATGGCGGGTTCGGCGATTTCCCAGCCATGGTTGATGACAGCCGAAGGTAAATCGCAATAATCCCACAATATTCTTGCAATGTGAGGCCCACGTTCGATAGCAAAGTTGGTGCACATAACTCCAATTTCACTATGGTTTATGGTACTTATAGCGAACCAGTTACTGGGGCGAATCTAAACCAACAAACATAAGTGGGGGGGCCCACATTGTGAGATTATATCTCCCGTTCTATCTCCATTAAAAGTCCCTATGTCTTGATGCCCTATGCCATAATGCAATCCCGGGACATCCAAAAAAACGCTCCGAAAAAAACTAACATAGATGTGGAAAAGCAACTTGTAATTAGATCCTTTTCTAGGTAAATGGGTGTTCACATCTTAGTTTAGCCCGGGTAAATCGCATCTGGTTGGTGGTTGAGCCCTACCCCTCTGAAAAATGATGGATTTCGTCAGTTGGGATTATGAAATTCCCAATACATGGAAAAAAAAATGGTCCAAACCACCAACCAGCCATTAAATCCACTTTGAGCGGAGTCTCTATGCCGTTCTTCCTCTCCGCCTCAAAAGTGCTTCGGCCATCTGTGATGCGCACGTCCACGCAGCCGCCACCCCACTTGATGAAGCCGGCATGCCTGGGGTTGAGGCCGGGGTTCATGGTCAACAAATCTCTCACTATGGCAGTAAATGATTTGTGTACAAACATGGAGATAACATGGGTATATAACCAATGATAAATATGATCATCATTGTATTTCAAGGTGGTGCCCCCTAGTGAAATGTGTGTTCATGTGTTCACATCTATTTATATATATATATATAGATAGATAGATAGATAGATAGAACTACCATAAAACCCATGGTCATATCCCCTATAAACCAACTTAGCTAGCTAGGCACCACGTCGTAGCTTAAGAATCCCCTGTAAGCAATCAAACATGTGTTTTTGTTTCAAGTTCATGGTCACAGTCATAGTTATCCCCAGAAAAACACCAGTAATTCATCATTAACCAGTACGCCCAGACAGAATTTTGGTATCGGCTCAAAAGGAGTTAGGATTGATGGCTTAAATTGGGCCCGCCTGGTAGGCAAGTTGGGTCTATGGTGGACGTATCCACACTTAGAGTGGAGAAACTTTGTGTTGGCCAAATCATTACATCTGGACAATTTGCATGAAATGGGGACGTGTCAATACCTGTTATACTTTATCTTGGGGGATGAATATCCATTTACCAGCTATTTTGATGTTCAGCAGGAGTACATGCTTTTGACCCATACCCAAATCCAACATATTTTTGAAATTTATGGCTCCGCTGATTTTTTCAATCATGTCTTCGTCATGTCGGCCACACCATATCCTTTTTTATATGGTAAACCCAATGCCATAAACCTACCATTTGGAGACGGTTTCAATCCCACCCATCAACATGAACATTTCGAGGATAGTTCATTGTTGGGTTTACTACATTAAGGGCGTTTTTTCACCAAAAAATGCTAAGCCATGTCAATGCGAGTTTGCCTGAGCAGATGTCTAAACCCTGGTTAATCATAGTGAAGAAGCAATTTTAAGGGTATACCCGGTATACCCACATTTTTGGAATCACCCCTCTCGTTCTGCTGAATACAGTTCTTATCATATACAGATATACTATATACACTAATAGTCACTAATATATTCTTGTTATTAAAGTCCCAGTAAGATCTCACCAATATCCAATTACATTTCCATTCGATTCCCAATGCCATTCATACCCGATCATATCTCCGATCATATGATGTTTCCTAGCCAAAAAAGATGTTAAATGTTTTTTCAGGTCAAATGATGTTTTAATGTTAATTAAATGGCTTAAATTCCCCATGTTTTCCCGGCAACCCGAACGACTCGGCCGAGGCACCACGCTGCCAAGCAGAGTCGCGAATCCGCGCGATAGATGGAACTGCCAATGACACCTTTCAAAAACACATGGCACAATCCCGTGGGACCAGTGATTATCCAAATGGATATGTATATATATATATCATAGATAACCCATTGATAAATCACTGGGATAATGGATTAGTTGTTCTATGATAATATCTATGTATAGTCCATTAACAAATCTTAATAAATGTATAATATCCAATGGATAGTTGTTCAACACATGGCACAATCCCCTGGGAGCAGTGATAGCATTGGGAGATGAAAATTGTGCCATGAATTCCCAGCGGTTTGTTGATGTTTGTTGATTTTTGTTGAGGCTTCTTCACATCCAACAATCAATATATATATATATAGGTAGGTTGATGATCATGGATAAAAATTGATAATTATATAATATAGCAAACCGGTCCCTGTGCCCCCTTTTGGGACAATAAACTGTTCCTGGAAAAATGTGAGAGAAGTGCCTCTAAGTGTGGAAACGCTAAGTTAGAAGGTTTCTCATCTTGCTGGCTAAATATTGCACAGAATCCCTTCGGTGAGTGGATCCTATCCCCATTCTTCGTTTGGATAATTCCAAAATGAAAAAAACTCCATCATTTCATCATGTCCTTGGATTTGCTTAAGGGGTTCCCCCCCCAAAAAAAAAAAAACACTATAGATTCCCCAAATGGTGGATTTTCCAATTAGCAAAATAACAAATCACCTTAAACAAACCCATGTTGTCTTATAGATAATATTCCATTAAATCAGATCTTATAAATCAATCCTACCCATATGCGAACCATGGTGCTGGAATATTTACCAACATGTGCCCGAACAAAATCACCCAGTTTTGTAGGTAAATATACCAGCACCATGGTTCGCATCAATCCTAATCATCCCCAAAAAGATGCCAACAATAAAATCATGATCACTACCTTTGGGGCTAGCTGTTCATAAAGCCACCAAAAATTCAGGGCTTTGCTGACCACGAATTCTTACCCACGAATGTGAATACTCATGAAGTTAAATTGTGTTTTCATATAGTGGGTACTTAGTGGTGATATATAGTAAACCATTAACCAAACATAAATCACCACTAACTACCCATTCATCACCATTAATTAATCAATCTATTGGGTCTAAAGGAACTTTTACAGGAAAACCCTATATTCCGTGGTAAAAAAAAACTATGGTCTCCTGTAGATTTTCCCTTAAACCAATCCATTGAATATGATATCCCACTATTGTTGTTTAGATATATCATGATATATCCCATGATTTTTATTTATTGGTTAGATATATCCCATTAGAAAAACACACTAACCAATGGGATAAACCAATGGGATAAACCAATAATCCCACTAATGTTGGTTACTAATGTTACCCTCTGGTTATTTCACATAGCCATGGAAGCCATGACCCATTTGTAGATAGTTTACCTATTTATAGCATGGGTGGATTTTCCATGGCGAACTGTTAGTCATAACCAGAGGGTACTATAACGGTTACTATTGTTTTTTAAATTTTATTAACATACTAACTGGCTACACCCACTGTAAAATAGTACTGTTGGTTTTCACTCTTGTAGATGGTTTTTACTATAACGGTTCCTATTGTTTACTATTGGTTACCGTTGTGCCATCGAGTCTCGGGTGTCAATGGGATCATTCAGGCCGTAACCGCCTCGGTCGCAACGGGAGAAGCGTTATATAATGTTATATATATATATATTGTATTGATGCAATGTGTACACATATAACATATATATATATGATTACATATATGTATATGTATACACATATATAGTATAGTATACATATTCATGTAACGTAATTATGCCTTATAGTATACAAAAACCAGTACTTTACGGGAGATAGCTCCAAGAAATTACGGCTTGGCTTTCCAAGGCGCAAAGGGCGGGGCATCGAATGGGCATCCATTCGTTTGAAGGGAGGCACCTTAAACAGCCATCGGCTTCACCCTGGCAATGAAGCTGGCAACAGGAATAGCTCATGGCTTCAAACATATGGATATTTTTTGTAACCAGCCTAGGACAATCACTTAGAACATCATCAATTGTTCTTCAAGTTTTCAAATCTCACACCTAGAACATCAAATCAATGGCCATTCCAGGATCCTAAATTGGAGGTACCTACCATATATCTTTGGCCTATTTTTCAGGCCTAAATTTCAGGGAATATCCCATTGATCAAATAGCGCAGTTGTTGTGAAATCCTGCACCAAAAGATACCCAAAGGATGGTGGAACATGTAAAGGAACGCCTATAAATCATAGGAGAAACATGGATAAACCACCGTTTTCAACTGGTGAAGGATTTGATCCATCCACTGTATTTCACTTTCTGTATGGCTGGTGGTATGATTTATCTTGGAACTTAGAACTATTGTATATGTATATATATATATAGAAATTGAACATATCATGACATGTCAATGTTTAACCGGGTGTCTCCCCTTTCACGTCGATGACTTGCCTTCTTTTTTGGGGGTAACAGGTAACAAACCTTGAGGATGGACGTGCTCCAATGATGCTCCAAATATGGGTACCCCCAAATGGATGATTAGGGAACTATGAAACACTGGCAATAAACCACCATTAGAAGGGGATAAACCACCTACCAACTGGGGTTTCCATAAATGGGGGATCCCCCAAATGGTTGGTTTATCATGGGAAAATCCCAATCTCAAATGGATGAGAACTGGGGGTAACCATATGACTTAGGAAACCCCTATATTTAAGGCACACTTTGTGGGACTTTATACTTCGGAATAGAGCTAGGATGCACTAGGTTATCTCTGTGTAGTGGAGCTCCATACAAGATTATCTGCTGTGTACTTTCCAGCAGGTTTAACAGCAAGTATACCGTATGCCATACACAGAGCATCTTTGGCAAACGGATTTCTTCAAGGTTAGCAACCAAATTTAGAGATGGCAAATTTGAACACATGTCAACCAATTATGGTTTACACATGTCTACGATTTATGCATGAAGAAAATTCACAAAACTTGCCACACATTTTGCTTATTCATTACATGTACATATGCCCAATGTTCATAAAAATATTATTCATATCGATGCATGCATAGTCGCATAAATATGTATATAAATATGTGTATATATATATATATATGTACGTATGTATATGTATATGTATGTATATATATAGTCATATATACGTATATAGTCACATAAATATATATATATATATTATAACATGTGTATGTATATATATATACAAATATATGCCCTCTGGCAATCAAGCATGTTCCAGCAAGCATGTTTCATGACACTGGAGGGTATATTATGGTATAGCTCACTTCCCATTATAACAATATTTGCCAATCATTCTTGGGGCAAAAAACACCTATCATTGATGCTCAAACCCTAGATAGTCCCATTATTCCTATGGTTTGTGCTCATTTACATATATTAAACCCCAGATAGTCCCATCATTCCTACGGTGTTCTCATGTATATATATATATATATACATAGTCGTTCCCATATAATGTATCAATTTACACGACATCTTGAAACTTTGAAACCACCAACAAGGTGGGGCCACCAAAGCCTAGAGACTCTTGGCCCCACAGGCCGCAATCCATGCCTCACCGGCCGCAACCACCAGCCGAGAAAAAATCCCAAAACTGCGGCAGCCTTCGGTCTCAAACTATGGAGTCCATATGATATGCATATATATGTATCTGGGTAAATTATAATAATTCACTAACCTGAATTAAGGCCATTTGGGGATGATTCCCCTTACTAACCATGATTCCAGTGAGGTCGCAGTGAGGTCGTTATAATTTACCCAGATGTGTATATATATATATATATACAATATAATTAATTGCAATATATATATATATACATGTTTAAGAGATATAGATATGATATAAATCTATCGCCAGTGAACCCCAGGATATAAGAAAGGTTCTCAAATAGACTGCTAATTCACTAGGCACTGCTTGGAATCAGTTCATCCCCTTTACTATCCCTTGGTGACTGCCGGCCACCAACAATGTCCAGGCCCGACCTCCAATTTCGGTATTGTATCCTCAGTGTGTCACGTCGAAATTCAGAAAACATCAACCAAATATAACCATTTCTAGGCTGGGAATAGGCCGTGTTGAAGATATTCTCCACATCCTAAATACTATAAGTATAGATATGTATACATATAGTGTTATGTATATAACATACTGTATATAATTATTAACACAATTATACACATGGATAGTGACAATAAGGAGGAAATTTGTTGGGGGATGTCTGAAAATGAGAGGACCTCCATGACCCCTTGTTTCCATTCGTTGTTCAAAATGCCATGTTTTCGCTACGCTACTGGTTGGTGGTATACCTACCCCTCTGAAAAATATGAAAGTCAGTTGGGATTATTATTCCCAATATATGGAAAAATAAAAAATGTTCCAAACCACCAACTAGGCTATTGAATTTGCAATTCCGGGAGGTAAGCAAGAAACAAATCAAGGCTGAGCATCTCCTCACCTTGAAGTCTGCAACGCTGGATGCTTTGAATTGCAGCTTCCGTCTCCGGAGCGTTGAGGCAGTGTAGCTGATACTGGTGGAATTTTATGCGCCGTCCAGATCCGTCCAGTCCATAATTTGCTGTTGGTTACTGTTGCTTATCCATTTTTCTTAAAGCCGCTTGAAGCCTCAAACCGGTGCATTTCTAGATCAGCTACAGTAAGTCTACGCGGCTATACGCGGCTCGATGTGTGATATGAGGTCCACGATCATAAGAACTTACTTGGATAGATGGACCATGATGGACCGATGGATAACAAATAACGACCATGCAAACGTGTCGTAGAACCGTGGGAACTCCTTTATAATTTGTAAATACAGCAAATGAATGTGTGTGTGTGTGTGTTATTCCAGGGGTGTTGAATAAAGCTTTCCGAAAAGGCACATCGTGAGCTTCTGATTTCCATGTTGAAAAGACACTTCTAATAATTTCTGTATGGCCACAAATTGAAATTTCATCCAACCTGCTTATCGTTTATTTCCGTATTTTCCGTAGCCAGAAACCGCCCATGTGCGTAGGCTCGTCAAGTCCAGGTGGCTCAAAAAGCTGCTTCTGCATTGCAATGGTGAAGGTACGCCCAAATCACCTGACACATCGCTTCACCCGACCATCCTCAAACTGTTCTTGGGGCTTTCGTCACCCTAATTTTAGGGTTAGTTCAGGCATATATGCATACAGTATATAGTCGCCTTGAAACAGCTTAGGGACTTAGGGTCCCTGTTTCTTACATGTTCTTACCATCTGCGAGTTATAACGTCATGGTTACACCGAGTCATCGTCATGGTTACACCAGCTTCACCCAGAAACTGACGGATTCAACCTCATGATAGTTGGTTTCTTGGAAAATGAGGTCTGAGCCATTAACCAACCATTTACTGTTTCCATCGTCTCATCCAGAATAAGCCAATACTTGAATAATTATCCCAGAATCTGATTGGTGTTTGAGCCACCCGTCTGAGAAGTATTGGTTATATATTGATGGTTATTGGGGATTATACCAAACATGATTGAAACATATTGAACATATGGAAACTTATCGAAATCACAAAATACTGGTTGTTGAACATTGGAGATGCCCGTATTTTTATGAGCCAACTTTGTGGTTGATTGATACCCCATCTTCGGAGCGACACCCCAAAAACATATCTTGTCATGCCCAATCTTGGATACGGATACCCTCTGGTAAACTAACATAGCTATTGAACATGGCCATTTGTAGTGAGTTGTCCCATTAAAAATTGTGATTTTCCAGATCGTTTTTTGTACGTTTACCAGAGGGTAGTCTCAAACACATGGCTAGCTGAAACATCCCCATTTTATTGGCAAAGGTTGCTCCATGTTGCTCCTTTGATCGTTGCTCCCAATGGCCCAAGATTCCAGATTGGCGGGAAACTGGCTGTTGTAGCTATCATTCACCAGAGCTTGGAACAACGTTTGGTGTCAAAGGTTGAAGTGTTCAATTTTCAAACCAACCCAGATGCTCCATGTATGGAATATTTAACTACATTTGGGTCATTTTTGGGGTAAATGTAGGTAAATATACCATACATGGAGCATCTGGGTTATCAAACCAAGGTTGAATTACTCCGTTATCTCACCAGGAACTTCTTTCCAGTCCCTTGATTTTTAGGGTCAAACAAGTGGCTCATAGGGTCGAAGAGGTGGAAGTAGTAACCTGGGAACATGCTGGAATTTCGACGCAAGCCGCCATGCCGCAAGAAATAGCAACGAATCAATGGGAATTCCAGGATCCTAAAATGGAGGTACGTTAGTACCATATTTTTGGCCATATTTGGGGGAAATTTAGCCCTTACATAGGCCTTATATATGTTAGGGACCTCCAATCAATCGGTTCCTGAAATGGCCATTGAACCAATGTCAAGATCCTTTTGGAAAATCCTGCCTATAATGGATTAAGTGTGATTTTATGGTACAGTATAATATTCACCTCTAATATTTCGAAGATAATGGGGAACGGGAAAATAAGTCAAAATAGATCCTTTTCGATGGTTGGTGAGATTGTGGATTCCCAGCTCATGCAGTCTGACAATCCCTGCGACATATTGGGCAGTACAACGCCCTACAATGCGAGGCCCCCCGTTCGATAGCTAAGTTGGTGCACATAACTCCAATTTCACTATATGGTTTGTGGTACGCAAATAACGAACTAGTTACTGGGGCGAATCTAAACCAACATTCACATCACGTTTGGGGGCCCCACATTGCAACTAATCATCAACCAACGCCAAGGTTTTTGAAACTCCTCAATCTCCTCAAATGGGATACAGTAACCTCGATGACCGAGCGAACATGGAGGTTTCCTACGAATGGGGGAACATCAATTGATCGAACCCACCTGAACCTTACATTTTTACGTGAGATGCAGTAACATAATTAGGACATATCCCAGATGCTCCATGTATGGTATATTTACCTACATTCACCCCAAAAATGACCCAAATGTAGTTAAATATTCCATACATGGAGCATCTGGGTATTAGCACTATTGTACATAGGGTGATTCAAAAATCACCCAACAACATTGATATAGTTACCTAGTTCAATGGCATCAAACTCATCAGGTACCCCCCCGGTACTATGGATTGATCTCTACCATAGATCCAATCGCTAGCCCAGCTATAAACTTAACTAACTAACTTAATCCAACTTACCTATCTTGGTTTCCTGAGAAACATATGTCCCCTTTTTGTTTTTTGGCAATCTTTCCCTTTTTTCTTGGTTCACTCCCAATTTTTTGGGGTGGTTTATAAAGTTATCTTCCCATGTCATGACCAAGCGACATGTGATGATGATGCCTGCGGCAATGGTCAAATAAGCCCCCTGCAGGTATCCACGAAGAAGTTGCTTGGACGTGTCACTTTCTTCGACCTCTCCATAGTCGAGACTCATTTGAGCTCCTAGTGTTCGCCCGATCGGAGATGCCCAGAAACGACAAATGGGGGAATTTCAGCCATTAGAAGGAATCAGAGGCATAATCGACGACTATTGGGAATGCTGAACAAATGGATAACTATTCTTAGAATTTCTTAGATATCAAGTGAGATCCCTGAGATTGAACCATTTTTTTACCTGGTTCGTTGGCTACCCATCGCTGACGGTATAACCAATGTGGTTTCCCTTTCTTGCTGAGTAGTTACATCCCTTTCCTTTCTATGTTGGGGATTCAATAAGTAATGTCAAACCCAGATTCTGCTTCACGCCTGCCGATGAACTGGGGCTTCCTCACAAGTAATGAATTCCCTGCTACTCAATGGTATTCCCCCCAACTGAATTGTTTGAGACTCGGCAAAACAAGTAGCGGTCTGACGTATGACATAATAAAATACTCCCTAATACTCCCTATTATATTAGAATTGGAAACACAATGCACAACCACCATATACCAGCCAGTGTAGCAAGTCATGCAATCCCAATCTACATCAGTCCTCATATGAAAGACTACTGTACAAGTAAAAATCAGAAGGACCCAGATTTTAACATATTTTAACAACCACCATTTTTTAGCCAAACCAATGAAGGTTAAACCACCAACCGTTATTCTCAAGCCACGACCTCTTTAGACGTCCTCCTTGTTTGACTGTAAGACTGTAAGACGGTCATGTTTGAAAGCTAGACTTTATACAATAATTGCCATGTTTGTCGGCTAAACTACAAGGGGATGCCCGTCCAGTGACTAGTTGGTTCATGTCACCCCATCTAACTATACACTATAGAATATGTATATATATATATATATATATCTGGTTGGTGGTTTCAGGTATACCTACCCCTCTGAAAAATATTAGTCAGTTGGGATGATTATTCCCAATATATGGAAAAATAAAGATGTTCCAAACCACCAACCAGTGTATATATATAGCATAACCCCAAGAGCTAACCGACTGGAATCATAACAAAGCTAGTTAAGTTTCACTGGGGCACCAGCCCTAGCTTTCCTCCACGGCTCACCCTCTCCTGGTGATGCTTTGCCTTCCTCCAACTCTGCGTTACAACGCACCTCGCAGTGAATCCCCGCTAATCCAACATGGCTGGAAAAACCTCCAGCTGATTTTCGATATGATTTTCCCACGAAAATCACATCTTAGCCTCCATTTAATTCAGGGATCTTCGGGGATTTGCCATTTCCATGTTTTGCGTAGGGCCGTAGGGTGCAATTTCCGGTTTCAATTCTCAACTACGCCCAGAAATGGTCATTGTTTTTTCAACCCAAATAATGGTCATTTGTTAGTTTGTGCCTTGCTAATGAATCCTAATCCCAAGACTTCCAAAGATTCTCTAATAAGGTATGTGAAACCCCGAAACCTTGCTACCATCTATATAGAAATTAGGTAAACATCCTGATAAATGGGGTTTTCATGGTATCATTATATATATATAATTATATATATATAATTATATATATATATATAATTATATATATAATTATATATATAATTATATATATATATATGTTCCTTACCATGAGCAGGTAAAACCACCTTCTCAAATGGTGTATGGAAGTCCAAGGAATCCTTAGGCAATGACTCGTATTGATCAGGTGGAAAGATGTGTTCCAGCACCAACATTGGCCGCATTGGCCACTCCCAGGTTCGGAAAAAAGTCCTGATTTCACCCATCTCGTCTTGGCTGGATCCCAGCCAAATAGTTTGCTATTGAACATGGTTCATTAACAGTTGATTTACTTATTAATGGTGATTTTCCATAGTTTACCAGAGGGTAAAAACTGAGAGTAGCAGTCTAGGCTGTATCTGAAATATGGTATACACCCGTATTTATGATAATTTTAACAGCGATAATGATGATCAATGCATCTAGGGGTACCCAATTTTCAATAATTTTCAGACAAACCCAAGAGGAGAACATACAGCAGAAACCAATTTCAACTCTAGGAACAAATCCCAATTCATCCTCATTTACCCTCTGGTGTCATCAAATTGGCTAGCTTCAAAATCCCGAACTAAATCGAGGTTTATAGTTTGGAAAATCATCGAACTAAATGGTGGATTTTCCATCAAGCCATGTTTGACTATCGGGGGTTATATCCGAATATTTCTCATGATTATGCCCATTGATTCGTGAAAAAAAAACATTTATTGATAGTTACCCTGTGGTTAACTAACATAGCTATGGAAAATCACCACTTTTAATGGGAAAATCCACTATAAATGGCCATTTTCCATAGCTATGTTGGTTTACCAGAGGGTAATCCCCAGATAGTTCCATGAGTCTGATCTTCCCGTGAGAAAAAATGGTGCTTTTCCATTGCCAGCGACAAATTTTTCTGGGAATTCACCGAGCATGCTGACCTCACAGTTGTTGGGCGACGGAGCGCCGCTCATCACTCCTGGTGCAGTTCCACGAATTTCAGTGGGAAAACAAAGGTTCCTGAGTTGTAGGCACCACATATCCCTACTTGTGGAGATTTGAATCCGATAGTTAGATTCACATATATAAAATATGTATATATAGACATATCTACATATCTACATATATACATAAATGCATATGTACATATATAAATATCTACATATTTACATATCTACATATCTACATATCTACATATCTACATATCAACATATCTACATATCTACATATCTACATATATACATATATACATATATACATATCTACATATCTACATATATACATATGTACATATACATATATATATATATACATATATACATATAAACATATATATGTAAATACATATATACATATATACATATCAACATATCTACATATATACATATCTACATATATACATATATACCGATATACGTAAATACATATATACATATCTACATATCTACATATCAACATATCTACATATCTACATATATACATATATACATATATACATATATACAAATATACACATATACACATATACAAATATACATATATACATATATACATATAAACATATACATATATACATATATACATATATACATATATACATATATACATATATACATATCAACATATCTACATATATACATATCTACATATCTACATATATACATATATACATATATACATGTATGTATGTATGTATGTATGGATGTATGGATGTATGGATGTATGGATGTATGGATGTATGGATGTAAGGATATAATGATGTATGGATGTATGGATGTATGGATGTATGGATGTATGGATGTATGGATGTATATATATATATAAATATATATATATATATTGTACATGCATATATGTATATGTATATGTGTGTATTTATATGTTTATATATGTATAAATATATATATATGTATATATATATATGTAAAAATATGTATGTATATATATGTATGTATATGTATATGTATTTGTATATATATATATGCGTTTTTCAGTAATAACCCCTGGCCTGAACCCTAAGTGTATCCATCTTTTCGGGGCAGTCTTGAAACATACGACATCATACGACTATGTCACGTTCGCCATTTCTTGGTGTATGCCATTTTGTTCACCTCTACTACTACGAAAATCCCATAAAATACAGGTTGGTTCATCTATGTATGTGTTCCTTTCACAGGCCATCACAATGAAAAATCAGACCATGTGGTCGAACCCACTCGCAACCAACAGTTCGGTGTTTTGATCATGGCTTCAAAAGACAATCAGCCAATGTGACTCACGCGATTCCATTCCAAGCGGGGTATCACTTGGGTTGTAACATGTTGTAACCACATACGATTCCTGTGTCCAGCACATCAAGCAGCCTGCTGACCCGTCCTGATGAGATATTGAATCTGATCCCATCCCCCAAATGCCTAAACGGTTGTCAAGTAGACATGATCCAAACTGCGAAACCAAAAGACATGGTCAAATGTAAACTGGTTGGTGGTTGAGCCCTACCCCTCTGAAAGATATGAGTTCGTCAGTTGGGATGATGACATTCCCAACTGAATGGAAAGTCATTCAAAATTCCATGGTTCCAAACATTTCCAGTCACCACCAACCAGGTAAATTATAACCCGATCATGATACGGCTTCTATTCACAGAGTTCTCTCTCTGCTGATGTTTTCGAACTCGTTGAGGAATAGATCCGTTATGGATTCCAAACTCCCAGCGTTTTACGGTTTGGTGAAGCCTTCAAAACTACCAGGTCATCACTGGTCCAGATTTTTTAGTCTACCCTCTGGTTATGTCAAAATAGCTATGGAAAATCACCATTTTTAATGGGTAAATCCACTATTTCTATGGCAATTTTCAATAGCTATGTTAGTTTACCAGAGGGTAACTTGGATCATGGAATATGATATAACTTACAAATCCTTCTTTTGATCTATTCAGTCTTCAGATATGCCGCGCGATTAAAATTAATTCACTTGTAAAAACCATTTACGATGATGGCAAGAAAGGGCCAAGGCTCCTGTGTCCATGTATTGCACCTCACATTTCTCCGGGGCGCAACTCGCACATCCATCTATCAACCTGTTTCGAAACGGCGGAAAAAACGGGGCACAGCAGCTGTGAAATTTCAAGCAACATGATAAAATAATTAAAGCAATGCCATACACCATCCCCAATTTCACCATGTTTATAGGTGGTATGGTTACCATTCCCAGTCATGGGTGGTTTATGGCATTGTTTTAACTACATTATAGCACATATATATATATATATACACATAATCCCGTGTACTAACCCATCGACAATGGTACTGTATTTAGGAGTATTAATGATATCCTTGTATGTTTGGTACTTAACCCACCAAAAAAAAGCTTACTGTACATTTTTTAATCAAAAAACATATCAAAAACATGTTCTCTTCAGATCGTTTCATCATGATCATAGCCAGGAAACATCTGTTTAAATTACCCCTGCAGATCTGGCCATTTATTAGTTACAGTATAACATGTTATAACTGGTATTTTGGGCCATAACTGTGGCTGAGACGTGAACGACTAGCCCAGTTCATGGGGCAAAGCGTTTTGAGATCAATGTGTCAATACTCCCAACCAACAACCATACCTAATTTATTTACATCAATTGATCCAAATATTTTCAGAACGCGTTGTATCTCATGAAGTTATTAGTGGAATACATACGCGCCGAGTGAAAAAAAACCTCGTGATTCAGATGATTTGGATTGCGATTAAATGGAAATCTGGCTGTATCTGGGTAAATATGAGTTCATCAGTTGGGATGATGACTTTCCCAACTGAATGGAAAGTCATTCAAAATTCCATGGTTCCAAACATTTCCAGTCACCACCAGCCAGTACAATAATATATCTGGGTAAATGAAATCATATTTCACCAAACTGAATTCTTGGCCCATTTGGAGATAACTTCCCTATACATTCACCATGATTCCAGGGCTCGGCCGCGACGTGAGGTCAAAAAAACGACGTCAGCGGGATCATCTTAAGTAGCAGCAGGCACCCCCCAAAATTCATACACGTCCCCAAAATGTTAGCTTGCGGCTTTCGAACATGTGTTTAAATGATCTTAAATAACATTTTGACCTGACAATTTCGGAGGAAAGAAAACGCATCTTAAAAGATACCCTTGGAGGTTTCCTAAAATGGGGGTACCCCTGTTTATCCTCCAGCTATTAGATTGGCATTTTCCATTAGAAACCATCCAGCTACCCTCTGGTCATGTCAAAATAGCTATTGAACATGGCCCGGTCGAAATAGTTGATTTTCCAATTAAATCACAATTTTCCCATATAAATCATCATTTTCCCATGGTTTTCCCCATGACGTTTGGAACCCCCAAAGGGCCTATCTATGGGTCGCAGCAGTCTTCCAGACAGCTCCGCGAAAAGTGGCGCAGCTTCCGCGCCTCACAGAGGACAGGGTGTTGCTGTCGGTTTTTTAGATCGAAATGGCCAATTTAGATAGATAGATAGATATATATATATCATTTTATATATATATATATCCATTCCCTACGTAAAACGCACCAGTGATAAACTACATTAACCCACCCAGGTAGGTTGTTTGTTCACCAAGTCATGTAGTGGGAATTAATGGGATATGTGGCTAAAAAACGAAAAACAATGGCTGGAACTTCGCACTTGGAACTTCCCCTCTATTGTGGGGGTGGAATCGCTGGGACACAACCAATCATTCATGGGGGATAGCCTCATCAAACTTGGATGATAGCAAGCCAGCAACATGGCACATTAATTTTAGGGATTTTTTTTGGATTTCACCAAGCATACCATGGTTTTTTGTGGGGGATAACATACCTGGAAATCAAACGTGGCGGGCCGCGTTGCTTTCACCGCTAAGTTGGTGATGCCCCAGTGAGCTAAATCGCAAAGTTGGTGCAAATAGTAACTATGGTTTATAGGTCATATATCTCTAGTTAGTGGGATTATAGGCCATTTATAACTGGGGGGGCACCACCTTGTTTGATTACCGGAGGGTAAGCACAAAGATAGACGTGCTTCAGGGCAGGATTTCCATGGAACTCCAGTAGGGTTACTCGAATCCCAACCGGGCAAGGATTAGATCCATTGTATGCTGACACAGCTTTCTGAATATACTGAATCTATACAATGTGAGGCCCCCGTTCGATAGCTAAGTTGGTGCACATAACTCCAATTTCACTATTTTGGTTTATTGTACTTATAACTTTAGTTACTGGGGCTTATAAACCAACAAACATCACTGGGGGGGCCCACATTGTAGGATTGGCAATGAAACTAAATGATCCAAATGAATATTCTGAATACTGCCAGTGTCAATGTCGTTCTCGTTTTCGCATGTTCTCGCCATGACGGATAGAAATATTGACCTTGTGCCTGTCTGACTGTCTTGACGGTTTCCATCTCTGCGTTCACTGTCTTTGACCTCTCATCCTCGCACCGAGGACCTGCCGGCCTCCTGCCGGCCTTTCCAGTAGAGTTTTGTTTCTTTGTGGACAAACATGTCGTTCGGAACTCGTTCGGAACCAATGAAACTCACAAGGTGATGAAAACCGAAAACGACGGGTCAGATTTTCACAGTCCAACTGTTGGGCGCCATGCTCCGAACTCATGCCAGAAGCCAGAGAGAATGCTAGAAAGAATGTCAGAAAGAATGTCGCAATATATATATATATATATGTATATACTATATATATATGTAAATACATATACATATTGTGTCATACAATGTGTATATATTTCAATGAAATGTATATTAATATATATATATATACATATATGCGATATATACTTGCGAATGATATGTCAAAAACTATACAAGAATAATGTGTCAGGGTGGGGATCACTCGAAGTAAGGTATGTTTTGCATATACCCCAGTTTACTTGACTGGGAGGTTGTTTATTATGAACCCCAGTCATGTTTAATGTGATTTTTAGCCAAAAACAGGCGTTTTTTTTTGTATTCCCATGATCCCATTTCTGAGGGTTTCTTCCCAATTTCATGAACCACAACTACAATGTGAGGCCCCCAAGATAGATAAGTTGGTTTATAACTCCAATAACTATGGTTTATGGTACTTATAACTATAGTTACTGGGGCTTATAAACCAACAAACATCACTGGGGGGGGCCACATTGTAGGGCAACTAGGAATGGTGGAATTCTATAGTTACCCGTTGAATGGTAAACAGTCCCAAAACACGAACTGGAAAGATTCTTAAGATCCACCATTCTTCAGTTCTGTAAATCAACGAACTTTCGACTGGGCCATGGCTTCAATAGCTATATTAGTAGTATGATAATCAATGGGATTAAACCATACTAACATATACTAACCATATATAGGGTTGAAACCACCAACCAGAATGTGTTTTTTCTCATTACCAAAGGGTATCCTACAATATCCCAGCCCCAATTAGGGATGGTTTGTGGCCAGGGTGAATCCCACATTACTGGGATGACGTTTTCTTTCGTGTTGTCTTTCTTTCCACAAGGAATGGAACGCATGAACAACGGTATGTAATTCGAAAAATTAGCCTCAGTATAGTCTTAGCTGGTTTAACATTTTATGTTTCATGTTTTGAACAAAACAAACATGTGTTTGCTTATATCCCAACTATTGAAGGTTCAATTTACTTGTTTGATCATTCGATTGATTCCAGTGTTCTGAATGGTTCAACACCATGCTTGTTGCTTAAAGTCCCCATTATTTTTGCATAATCATCTCAACTCCACACGTTTCTTTGGATAAATCCTCATGTTTTTTCTCTTGAATCCGTATGTCGCCGCATATTTCTTTTGGATAAAAGCTGAGATGTTTCTGCCAAATTCCAAAAAATCTATCGGAACACCATCCTCATGTGCTTTCTGTTAAACAAAAAATCGCGTTAAAAATCCGCTTTAGATATCTTTAGATACGATCCTCATGTTCCACCCTGAAATCTCCATCACCTATCATCATCTCCATGAATTTTGTCCATATGGAGGTTTCCTAAGCCATGGTGGTACTCTCTGGTTATGACTAACAGTTCGCCATGGTTTTTCGATGGCCCTAATCGAAATAGATGGTTTACCGAACTTAAAGATGGGTGGATCTTTCCATGGCGAACTGTTAGTCATAACCAAATGGTACCCCCAAATCCTCCAAATTAAACCATTTTAGTATTGAAACCCACGGTGGCTTGGGGATCCCCCGTGCCATTTTCAGAGACCACAACTAACAATGTGGGGCCCCCGTTTACGATAGCTCAGTTGGTGCACATAACTTGATGAACTATGGTTTATGGTAGATATAACGATAATATTAATCGGGGTTATAAACCAACAAACATAATTATTTTTCCGCACATTGGAGGGCTCGAGATATAGATTTGTGCCGAAAATCCCGATCTAAAATGGATGATTCAGGGGTATCCCTATTATAAGAAATATCCATATCCTTTCCACCACTTGACCATCGATGCCTAGGTCGAGTCGGGCGAGATCGGCGCGTGCCACGCGTGCCATTCGGCAGATTCGGCAGCGGCGAGATCCCATGACGAGATCCGTGGACGTGAGGTGCAGGGTGGAGCTTTTGCTCATGTGGTTTTGAATGGGATTTGTGTGGGGGCTTTAGTAATTAGGTTTTAACCATTTTTCTGTGAGTTTTTTGTTGGTTTTAATCGTTTTTTTTGTGAGCTTTATATAGGTTTAAACCATTTTTCTGGGAGTTTTCGTAGGTTTTAACAATTTTTCTTGGAGTTTTAGTAGGTTTTAACCATTTTTCTGGAAGTTTTCGTAGGTTTAAACAATTTTTCTGGTAGTTTTAGTAGGTTTTAACAATTTGTCTGGCAGTTTTCGTAGGTTTTAACCATTTTTTCTTGAGTTTTAGTAGGTTTTAACAATTTTTGGAGAGTTTTCGTAGGTTTTAACAATTTTTCTGGTAGTTTTAGTAGGTTTTAACCATTTGTCTGGCAGTTTTAGTAGGTTTTAACAATTTTCTGAGAGTTTTCGTAGGTTTTAACCATTTTTCTGGGAGTTTTAGTAGGTTTGAACCGGACAAATTTTGTGGGATGCATGATTTTAAATGTTCACCCTCAAGAATGGCGATGTGACTAGGATGGCAATGGGTATGCAATGGGAAAGAGCTCGATGGCTCAGCCATTGGCATACCATGGGATACCATTTTTGGGAGTACAAAACCAGATCCAAATTGGGATATCATGGTATGTATATATGTTTGATTGTATGTATATATATATATATATATAATTATATATCTGGGTAAATTATAATCATTCACTAACCTGAAATGTTGGGCCATTTTGGGATGATTCCCCTGAAATAAACCATGATTCCAGGCTTCGGGAGAACGACGTGAGGTCGTTAAAAAACCCCATCTACAAAACCCCGCCATTCTTTCGCTAATTGTTGCTTTCTAAACCCTTCCAAATTTGCAATTTGTACATATATATATATATACATACATATATATATATACATACATATAAATAATATATATATATATACTAATATATATGGTAGTAACACATATTAACGAACAGTTTATAACCAATGGTTTGTATAGCTGCAAGAAATCTACTTGCAAGTGGATATGTCTACACCAACCCGGCAGTTTCAAAACTGTTCCTGATGTTTTGTCTTTCGATGGCCTAAGAAGAATAGATTGCAAAGTATCTGGTTGGTGGTTCCAACCCCTCTGAAAAATATTACTCAATGGGAAGGATTATCCCATATATTCTGGAAATATATAAAATGTTCCAAACCACCAACCAGTATATGATACATAATATATGATATTAATGATATTAATGTGATATATAGTATGGATATAATGATATATAATGGCATGTAGGCAACAAGATTGACACGATTCTATCTATATAATAGATAGATAGATAGATGTTGTGAAACACGGTCAGCGATTGGGCTCTTTTTCCTTGAACATAGGGCTGCGGAGTATGAGTGAAAACTGGGGTGGCTCTGTACATGAAATTGCAACACCCCGCCTGGTGTCACAGTCATACTGTTGACACCCCCTTTGAGCCACTGTCAGCTCAAGCCCTAGCGCGTCTTCTTACGGTTGCAGTCTTTGCAAACCGTCCAGGCATCTATGCGCTTGCCTGCTTTCAAATGGCCACAGTCTCTTTCACTATGCAGGACTGTGCCACTCCCAGTCTTGTAGAAGACCAGGTCTTCAGGCTCATCGTTTTGATGACACCTGGTGGATCGGCGCCATGACCAGATCCATGCCAATGTCCATCCAACTCCAAAGGCGAACAGAAGCATCGCCAATAGGATGTAATCGGCATCATTTGATCTGTCCAAGTCTGGATCAGATTTGGCTCCTGCCACTTGGGACAACCAGGTCACCATGGTCAGGATTTGCCCCGCCTGGGCTGGCGTCAGCACAGATCCTTCCGCTGGAGTGGTTCTCACTTGGTGAACTTTCCCTGGTCCACCATTCAAGGGCTTCAGCCCACACATCTCGACCAACTCCTGGAATCTGGCTTTTCCCAAGACCTTTGTGCCAAGGTCGCTGTTGTTGTACTTGCCTGGTTGCCAGGTCATAGTCAGCAAACAATGCCATGACCCACAGACTCGGTGTCGGAAGAGTCCGGCATCTGGACGTGAAGGTGTTGTGGCTACAACAGATGGTCTACCAAGGTTTGCTGACTATGACCTGGCAACCAGGCAAGTACAACAACAGCGACCTTGGCACAAAGGTCTTGGGAAAAGCCAGATTCCAGGAGTTGGTCGAGATGTGTGTATCTATCTATAGTTAGTTAATCTAGATTATAGTATATTGTTGCAATTTCATGTACAGAGCCACCCCAGTTTTCACTCATACTCCGCAGCCCTATGTTCAAGGAAAAAGAGCCCAATCGCTGACCGTGTTTCACAACATGGTAGCGGAGCATGAGTGAAAACTGGGGTGGCTCTGTACATGAAATTGCAACAATATACTATAATCTAGATTAACTAACTATAGATAGATAGATATACTATAATCTAGATTAATTAACTATAGATAGATATACTATACTATACTATAATGTATTGTGTCTATCTATAGAACTATATAATTTTAATTAATATATCACAGCCTGCACACGTGGGCTTCGCCCACGGTTCCCACGACTCGACTCGAGCCAAAAATTCTCGGGGTCGCCCACGACTCGGAACGACTCGGCTTCTTCGCCAACGGGGATGCTATTGGAAAGCAATGTGAGGCCCCCCAGTGATGTTTGTTGGTTTAGATTCGCCCCAGTAACTAGTTCGTTATAAGTACCATAAACCGTAGTGAAATTGGAGCTATAAACCAACCTAGCTATCTTGGGGGCCTCACATTGTGGAAAGCAGATGGACATCCTATCCAAACGGCAATCTCGTGGGTAAAGTATGCAAAAAAAACCTCCGGTGGCTCCTAATTGGCTTAATTGGCTATGGTCTAGGCACATGGTGTAACATTGAGAATGACCAACACCGAGCAAAATATGTAGGCTGCAAGCTGTAGCATAGCAATTATTGACCCATAAGGCAGGGATTATAGTTACAATGTGAGGCCCCCAAGATAGCTAAGTTGGTTTATAGCTCCAATTTCACTACGGTTTATGGTACTTATAACGAACTAGTTACTGGGGCGAATCTAAACCAACAAACATCACTGGGGGGCCTCACATTGTATCATATATCTGTTCATCACTGGATAAATCACTTGTAAGGTTCAAGAAGTACAAAACACACATGGGCTTGTCTGACAGTAGATTCCTCCATTCATTCCACTGCTTCATCATCATTCTCCCCATGTTCCCCAATAAAACGGCCATATATTGGTGGTAAAATAACCACAGAACACACCCAGGTCATGTACTGTTGGTTCTACACGATATACCTACGTATATACATTCATGTACAAACTGGTGCGCCTTCTATGTCGCGAAACTTGTTTATATGTAGCTTGATTAGGGTGGTGGAAAGAATATCCACACTTACGTTGGTTTGTAAACCAATTTGTAGCTGGGGTGCACCACTTTGTATACATATACATATATATATAATATAATATAACTATATAATATAAATATATATATATATATCTCATTATATACAAGTCTATCAAAGTCTGACTGCTTTTGTACCTTGTACCCCCATCCCCATGATTTCTCAGCTGCTCTCCTTCCGGACTGAGGTCGCTGACATGAAGTGAGCACAGAGTCCAATGTAATCTGCGCAGGTTGCCGGCGAAAGGTCAACCAATCTCTCAGTGCGGTCAGTGGTATGCAACCAACTAAAATCTTGGGAGTTCACTGAGTTCACCAACGAAAATGGGGATGGATTGATGGAATGGCTACCCGGCCTGGTTATGTCAAAATAGCGAACTGGAAGCCATGGCCCAGTCGAAATAGTGGATTTACCCATTGATAGCATGGTGGATCTTTCCATAGTTTTTTGTATTGTATGTTTACCAGAGGGTAAATAACCAATAACCACTTTCCAAGGTCACATGGTCAATAACCACTTGCGACATATGGTTGCCAAAGTCATAGATCCTGGAGCCTTGGCAAGAAAGGAGCCTTGGTAATACTGATAAACATGACAATTTGCTAGGTACATAGGGGGCCCTAAAATATATATATATATATACACACACATATTTTATATATACACATATGTATACATATCATATATGTATACATACATACATACATACATACATACATACATACATACATCCATACATACATACATACATACATGCATGCATGCATGCATACATACATACATACATACATTACATACAAACATATATATATAGAGAGAGAGAGCATGTATCTGTGTAAAGGTATGTGCATGTATATAATTATCTATAATGCATATATAAACATCTGAAATACATAAATATATATATATATATTGGCTATACCCAATAAAAAGAAAAAACTGGGCTACCCTGCCGCATCTGCAGAGTTCGGTTGCTCCAACAAGTTGAGCACGTGGGGCCATCTGCGCGAATGATGAGATTTTCGGATTTGATGGGATTTGTTTTTTGGGTTTTAGCCATCAAGTTGGCACATAAAATTATATACCCTCTGGCCCTCTGGTGAACTAACATAGCTATGGAAAATCACCATTTCACCATGTTTAATGGGTAAATCAACTATAAATGGCCATTTTCAATAGCTATGTTAAATTACCAGAGGGTATGTGGTTAGTAAGTTGGCAACACACAAACTATTCATGGAATGTTCAACCAGCAAAAAACAGGGATCTTACCAATGAATAATTTGTATAGAACTGAACCAACACTTCGTTTCGGATTTTCCAATCAAAACCCTACGAAGATGATGACAAACAAAACGGTTTTGAGTGGTGCAATTTCCTTGACATCGTGCATTCGAGTGGCTAAATAGATCTAAATAGGACGTTTTTTCTGGCATGGATGTGGGTCAAAATGGAAAACCGTTTGGGGACTAATTATTAAATGTGAGTCTAGTTTAGTATTAACCATCCTTTATTATTGAGGTACCTAATTT